CTGACGATGTGGTCCATATACAAGCCACGTCGTTGACTAAACCAGCTGAGTCACGGAAATGCTGGCAAATCAGCCAATGAAGGCGTGCCGCAAGCCTCATCCTAGCTGCTTCCATGCAGCGCTGTGCCATCACAGCGTTGCTTGACGACATCCAAGGGGAGATTCCATTCAGGGCCCACCCACGACCGTCCATTGCACAAAATCGTACGCTGGATGCTCGTGAAGGGGCTGTTCGTGATCGATAGGGACGAGGAGTCACGCACGTCCCTTCCTTCCCCTCCATCCCATTCTTGAAGTGGGTCTACCTGACCTTTTTGCCTCATTTCGCCATTCAGCAGCAGAATGCCTACAAGACAGCCCCTGACAGGGCTGTCTCATGCACCCCACTCGGTTTCTGTTAGAGGCTCCCGCCATGGCGTATGGCACAGGCATGTTGCGTGTGCTATCTCAGAGAGGCCCTTACGGTCAGCAGGCATTCTTCCACCATCCATCCCGACCGACAGTATCGTCGCCCTCTCGGAGCCCAAGTCGCACGTCTAGCGAGGGCGACAACACCGCCACAGACTCAGCTCATACGGAATTCGTTCAACACCTGTGGGATCTCGAACGCGTTGGATGGCTCCGGGGACAACTTGGCTCTCCGTCACCTCTGCGAGAAGCCGGGCGTGGAACTCTTGGACGACGTCCATGTTCAAGGGGGTGAGAGCGATTATGTCAACCCTCTGTATGACCGCACGATCGACGTCGACGAGGACTTAGCCGACGACGAGGAGCATGATGCCACGGCGGCAGCAGAAGCCGATGGCGACATGGATGAAGCGGCAGCAAGAGCGGCAGTAGCAGATGATGCCGACCTCTCTACAGCAGAGGCAGAGACAGAAGCAAAAGCACAACGAGCTGAAGACAGTGTGGAGTGGCCGGCTGAAGGCATTGCTGAAGAGGATGATAACAGCCACTGGTGGGCTGATCTGGCAGATGGGAGTGATGTTGAGGAGTGGCATGCTGGCGACGATGAAGATGATGACGAGGACGACTAGAGCACGTGGCAGAGGCAGTAGCAGCATGAGCTAGAGTAGTGGTAGCTTGTATTGTGGTCCCCTTATATAGCTCTAGGACATCCAAGCAGGCTTAGGTTGTTTAGCTAACCTCTAATTCCTGATTGTTTAGTGAAGATTCACTGGAATGTAGTGGCCCGTTTCGGGGGAGGGTGTTCAATTGATTTCAACCCCAAAAGTAGGGTGGTAACTGGATCCAGTCTAATTAAACACCCATACCCGTTCAAGCCACCCATGGGAGCTTAATTCCGGCAGGTACTGTATCAGGGAGAATACGGTATGTGCGAAACTTGCAATTATGTTTACCACTGGAATATGTTAAAATGAATGGAAATGTCATAAATCAAACCCCAATTTAATAAATGCAGCGAACACGGGTGTAAAAATGGTTCAACAGAAAGAGGCCATTAATTCAACTTTGTATTATTCTATCAGTACAAAGCCAACAACAGGTGAGAGTGTACGTGCAATCTGTCCTTGTAGGCTAAGTCTCGCCTGGTCTGGCCGAACCTACCACCCCTGTTATTTTGCGATGCCAGGCTGGCAGTCCACTTTTGTGAGAGTGGCCCGTCACCCAAAGTTTAGGATGTTGAACAAATGGTCGCCTCTGCTCGATAAACATCGACGGAGTTCAGTAACAATAGGGGGATGGGCATGTTGCAGCTGGAACGAAAGCACAGCGTGCTGGGTTATACGTGAACACGAGCATCGTAAATTGTAGCCTGCCCTAAAAAAAGCCTTTAGGCAGGCTCTCTGCATCGTATGGCTGGGCAGATGCGCACGCAGCAGGTTCGAGGTTTGGTGTGAGCCTTGTAACAATCCCGAGGAGGGATAGGTTGATTGACACAGCCAGGCAGAAGTCGACTGGTCGATGAATCTTGGCCGTGCAAACTGCTCCTCCCCGCATATCACGGCGTTATCGGATGGTTGACTGTATTGAAGTTCCTCTCCCAACCAAACCTCCCCCGTTGGTTCGTCCTGTTGCCTCACAGGCCGATCCATCATCTCCACCCCCTCGTTGGCTGCTCCACCCACTCCTGATTGTGTACCACATCCACTCCACTCTTTTGTAGCCCATTTCGTGCTATCCCTTCCATTAGCATTTCACCCAGTCTAGCTGTAGGGCTTGCACCTGCTCCAAAATGGCCAACGAAACCCTCAGGCGCGGAGAAAGAGAGCGCAGGAATAGCGTCAAGCTGAACGGCCCCTATGTTATTGAGGGAGATGAGGATGGTCCTGCGGAGCACCAGGGTCGCAAGGTGACGCCTAGCGAGACGAAGGAGGCCCTCCTTGAGTACCGGAAACGGCATCCATGTTCTGTCAGGGGCTGCAAGAAGGGAGATGGTAGCGATTATAGCAGTGACGACGAGAGCGACGATGGGGAGGATGGCGCACCATACGATGACGTTCCAGAGAAATTGCGGTCGCCAAAAAAACGAAAGCCACCCAAGAAGAAGAGCATTCATGAGCTCGACCCCGAGGCTGTTGAGAGGGGTGAGCTTTCTTCACCCCTGATCACGCTTGGTTGTATGTGGTTGCACATGGGGAGTACTTACTCATGGCCTAACCGCCATGTCGAGCGTTCCATTTGTTGGCAGGTGCGAAGCGGCGCGCGGTCTCGACGAACAAGAAGGCTAACGGCAAGGAGAAGAAAAAGGGACCGAAGCAATCTGTGGCAGAGGGAGAGGTAGATCGGAAGGAGGCGGCGAAGGACACGAGTTTGCGCGGGAAGCTCGGCACCGCGGAAGGGAAGATGGAGATGGCGGGGCAGAAAGATGGGTGTGGGTCACTTCCCGAGAAGAGTGCTTGCGGGAAGGATGAGGCGGGCGAGATGAAGACGGCTACAGAGGTGGAAAACAATAAGGAGTCGGGCGGGTGTGAGGTGGCATATGACGGGCGTGACACGCCTGCTGAAGGGGCGGACGGCCCGTGGGCAATGGTTCCCGCCAGAAAGGGAGTGGACGGAGGCACAGTGGAGATGCATGTGGATACTTCGGTACCTATGGCTGGTGGCGTGTCCCCCCCTCGGACCACGGAAGCAGGAAAAGGCAATGACATGCCTGCAGTGCAACCTTGGGGCTCCGCGGATGGCGCGGATCATGCGCCAGACGGTGGCGGCGAGGGCAAGAAGGCGGCTCATCAGCGCGGTGCTGTATTGAAGCCGAGGACGCCAACCCCTAAGAATCGCGGAGGCCTCCGCCCCAAGAAAGAGCACAAGGAGGAGGTATCTGACGACGATTCCGATGAGGAGAGCACGGAGTCCGGCAGCAGTTCCGGCAGCGAGGAGAACTATGATGACGAGGAGTGTGAGAGCGAGTCCGCAGACTGGGAGAGAAAATCCTGCGATGACAGCCATGGTAAACGTCATCAAGGGAGGCGCGGCGGCTCTCGACGTCGCAGGCGCGGTAAGACCAGCGGACGTGGCAACCACGGGTGGGAGAAGAAGCGGCAGCGAGGGGGGTTAGAGGACCGACGCCGCACCAACAGCTCCAAGGATCGGGCATCCAGGGGCAAGCAAAAGGGATGGAAGTCGAAGGATGATGACGACGCCTACGGGAATGAGCAAAGCGACTCAGAGAGTGAGTCCGCGGGGGAGCTCGAGCCCTGCCACAAGAAGCGTCAACGCGGCGGCGACCGGAGCAACGTGTACGCAAAGGCGGCCTCATCCAGTGATGAGGAGGAGGTGGTTGCCCAGTGGAAGCCTAACAAGAGCGGAAAGGATGCACTGGACAAGTACCCGAGGGGATCCAAGAAGGCGGACTCAGGTTACGGAGGGGAGGACAACGATGAGGAGGCGTCGGAGAAGAACCCACCCAGGGTTCGCGAAGCTGCGAACGAGCGTCGCCCGTGGCGTGGCGGGAACAATGCTCAGAGTGGCAGCGAGTTGCGTATCAGTGTGGCGGACACACGTGGGCGCGCGGCGGGTCATGCTGGATTGGAACGCCGGAAGCAGCAAAGTGATGATGGCCGTGCTGCTGGTGGGATGTGGGCATGCGCCACGGGGGAGTATGGGCCTGAGGGGAACCATCAGACACATCAGCATGCCACCACAGGTTCTCAGCGCAAACGCGCTGCGGCCGAGTATGAAGGCGCTGGCGGGCATGACGGGAAGCGTCGGCGGCCTGAGGGTGAGGACTCCAAGGGGGGGCGCTTCTCCTGGGAAGACATTGCGGATGCAGAAGAGATGCCGACCTACGTGACACCACAACTGCTGTGGCGGGCGTTGAGGGAGGCCATAGGGAAGATCCAGGAGTTTAAGGGAGAGCGGGATCGAGGCCTTCCGCGACTCGCTTCCGCATCCAGCGGCCCCGATACCGGCACGGATCTGGTGGGCGAGAGCACGGGGATGGCAGTGGTGCAACGGAAGAAGGGCATGCCCTCGCTGAAGAAGATTGGGGTGAGTCATCAATGAATCGCTCTTCCTTGCAAGGCAAGACTTGCATGTCGACTTGGTGTCCATTGCTTGTACGTGCCCCACTTACAACCGCTCGGCTGGCCTGACAGAATCTGGTGACAATTTCCTTTGCGTTGGATCTCGTCATCCTCAGGCCCGTGCGACCCTCTCCCTCCTGCCCTTGTCCACAGGTTCTCTCCATCCAGCGCATGGCCCCAAGTTCTCCTCCTCGTGAGCTTGCCCTGTATGTCCTTTCCCCCCTTACCCTCTCCCCCCTGCCCCCGCCCACAGGTTCTCTCCCTCCTGCCCTTACCGTGAGATATCTCCCTCATGGGAATGCCATGTATGCTCTTGGCCACCGACCCTCTCCCCCCTGCTGTTGCCCACAGGTTCTCTGTCTCACCCCCATTCTGCCCACAGGTTCTCCCCCTGATGTCGATGCCTTCATTGCCTTTGCCTGCCTACCCTGTCCATCCTGCCCTTGCCCACAGATCACTCACATGCCATTGGCCGGTGGTTGTCCACCTCATGACCTTGCCCTGTGTGCCCTTGCCCGCCCACCCTCTCCTTCCTGCCCTTACAGACAGGTTCTCTCCCTCTTGCCCTTCTCCACATGTTCTCTCCCTCCTGCCCTCTGTCCGCAGGTTTGCTCGCTCATGTCGTTACCCTGGATGCCCCTGCCAGCCTACCCTGTTCCTCGTGCCCCTATCCACACGTTCTCTCCATCCTTTCATTGACCTCGAGATCTCTCCCTCATGTCGCTGCCCTTGCCCGCCTACTCTCTCCCTCCTGCCCCTTCCCACAGGTTCTCTGCCTCTGGCAACAAGGAGTACTTCTCCCTCCATCCTTTGCATGTTTCTTCCCCTCCCTCCCACCCATACCCATAGCTTCTCTCATTCCTGGTGTGGCACACAAGTTCTCTCCACATCTCACCTGCTTTTTGGCATCTGCTTTGCTGCCATTTCCCCTCCGTCTCCCCATGCCTCTGGTTGTCTGTCCCCGCCCTCTCTCCCCCCCCATTCCCCCCCCCCCCCCCGACGCCCATCCGTCCACAGATCCATTACGAAACCTCGCGCGACCGGATGTGCATCGATGCGCCTGATGCGGGCATTGACTTCTACACGACCTTCTACCTCCGCATGGTGGACCTTCACACGGTTTTGGTGATGGAGGGCTACGACGTGTCTTTCGTGGCTGTTCAGGAGGCAATGACCGACAACAACTACAACGATAAGTTCAAGCGTGTATGGACGCAGTGGAAGAACGAGCGGGGGTTCCTGATCAAGAGGCGGGTGTTGACGGAGCTAGGGGTGAAGGTCAAGTGGGCGAGGGGCTCCAAGATCCATGTGGACCTTGATGACAAGATGGCCCTCTGGCATGACTTCAAGCCTCGTAAGTACTCATGTAGCTGCGCGGTCACAGTTGTTTAGTAGGGCGCATGTCATTGAAGTTAATACCTCGTGTTCACTCCCCATATCCTCACACCATTTGAGCATCATGCACCTCCATCTGTGCTGCCGTTACCCCCAACAGGAAGGAGGTTTGGGCAGTTGGTGAGCACCTGGGGCTCGGCGAAGCCACCCCCAGGGGTGCACTCCGGGCAGCCTTTTGCCAACAAGATCTTCTTTCAGGCGGCGTTCGATGCGTTTCAGCAGTGGGCTGTAGCGGGGAAGCTCTGTCTGAAGGCGTATCACATTGCCTGGATTATCATGGTGGTAAGTGGCGGGGAGCGCGCCTTAAAGGACGCCGTGGCTTGGGCTCTACTATCCTCCCGATTGTGCTCGGCTCATGCAACCCCATTCCCGTCCCCCACCTCCCTGACCCTTTTACAAACCCCCTCGGCCACCCTCTTCCCCAGGTCGACTATGGGCTGACCCGCCGCAGGCACACCACGATGGGCCTCTCTAACTCACACCCCAAGAACAAGGCCTGGATAACGGACCTTCACAAGAGGGTGCGACAGGTGGTCATTGACCACTTCAGCAACTACCCCAAGGAGTACAGCAAGGACATGCGGGGGTGGAAATGGGGAGAGTATGGACTTTACGTCCATGAGAGTGGCTTCAAGGACGAGTGGCAGGAACCAGGGAGGGAGGGCAAGGGGAAGGCGCCCAAAGGTGGAGAGGGAGAGGCTAAGGATTAAGGGTCCTTTTGCAGGGGTGAGGCAGGTATGTGCAGGGGTGGCATCACCACACCGTTCAGGGCAGGGGACGGATACAACTGGGACGGAAGTGGAGCCAAGTATTGGCGTGGGCTCTGGAGGGAAGGGTCTGTCAGCATCATTCTGAAGGGGCAGCCATCCCACAATGGGAGGGGCTTATTGCAAGCGCCAGTACTGGCGTGTGCTGGGTTCATAACCATGGGGTGTTTGCAGATGCATGATGTGGCAGCGTCGTTTGAGGGGTGGGGTGCTGGCAGCGAAATGATGTGAAACAGGTGGGCTGGGCGGGTGGTGTGCGGGGCTTTCAGGACCAGCAGGTTGGGGTGGGGGCGCTCGAGGGCGGGTTCCTTTTGAGGGATGTGAGTGGCCTTGACATTTGGGTATCACACTATAGTGGGTATTGATAAAGCCGCTCACAGCAGCGGCAAGAACTGGAAGTTGTGGTTGGGAGCATTTGTGATATGAGGCACCGGCAGCAGCGCATGAGTGGGTTCGGCATCAGGCTGTGGTGGGGGGGGGGGAGTTAAAGGGTTGAGGCAACAGCGGGCGCGAGGAATGGATATGAGCATCAGCTTGGGGAGGGGGGGGATAGGGGACTGGGGGATGAGGCACAGGTGGCAGCAGCAAGGGAGGGGTCTCAGCAGCAGCCTGTGGTGGGGGGAGAGGGGATTCGGGGAATGAGGCACAGGTGGCAGCAGCAAGGCAGGGGTCTCAGCCGCAGCCTAGGGTGGGGGGAGGGATTCGGGGAATGAGGCACAGGTGGCAGCAGCAAGCGAGGGGTCTCAGCAGCAGCTTCGGGTGGGGGGAGAGGGGATTTGGGGAATGAGGCACAGGTGGCAGCAGCAAGGCAGGGGTCTCAGCAGCAGCCTTGGGGGGGAGGGGGGAGAGGGGATATGGAGAATGAGGCATAGGTGGCAGCAGCGAGGGAGGGGTCTCAGCAGCAGCCTGTGGTGTGGGGGGGGGGGGGGGGAGGAGGGGTTGTGGGATGAACGAACCACAAGCAGCAGCAGGGCCAGACTCATACCTTGGTGGTTAGCTAGGTTTATCATAGCTGCAGCGGCAGCGGTGGGAGTAGGTGGGGGCTTGCAGCAGCAGTATGTGCTCTCTCAACGAGGAAGGAGGGGGTTGATGCCATCGTACGGGTCGTTTCCGATTTACTTCCAGGGTAGTGGTCCTTTTGTCCGGATGCGGTTGGTAGGGCGATCACAGCTTGGATGCGGGTAGAGGTCTAAACCCTGAGATTTTGTGTCACTGATGTGTTTTCTTGTGACACTGATGTGTTTCTTCTACTGGCCATCTATACCAATTAATGAGCCTAATATCTGTGGCAATGGAGTACTAGCGGATGTGGCAGTAACGGATATAGAATGTACCAAAAAAAGGACAACAACACGCCTCAAACACAATGAATAGATGTAAGCGTGACGCGAACAAACTTGTAATGGTCTTCGTGCACAGTACAAAAGTTCTCTTCCAGCATGACCGCATGGTGACGTGGAGGTGTTATCGCGTACGACCAAATAACATCAGCGCGGTGTCGGCAAACCATCTGCGTGGCGTTTGACAAACCATTTGAGTGGTGTTTGACAAACCATCTGCGAGGTCTTTCCAACTTACACCGCGAAGTGTTTGGACCCACCAATTTGGAAACCACCTGAAAGGTGTTCGCAACTACACTGCGCAAATGCTTTTCGGACACTGAATTTTTGCGATGGATGAATGGCCTGCCAGGGGATGAATGGCCTGCCAGGGGATGAATGGCCTGCCAGGGGATGAATGGCCTGCCAGGGGATGAATGGCCTGCCAGGGGATGAATGGCCTGCCAGGGGATGAATGGCCTGCCAGGGGATGAATGGCCTGCCAGGGGATGAATGGCCTGCCAGGGGATGAATGGCCTGCCAAGGGATGAATGGCCTGCCAGGGGATGAATGGCCTGCCAGGGGATGAATGGCCTGCCAGGCGATGAATGGCCTGCCAGGGAATGAATGGCCAGCCAGGCGATGAATGGCCTGCCAGGGGATGAATGGCCTGCCAGGGGATGAATGGCCTGCCAGGGGATGAATGGCCTGCCAGGGGATGAATGGCCTGCCACGGAAGAATTGGAAGATGTGGGAAGGGAAGGTGTGAGGGGCGGAACCGCTCACTCTGAACTGCCACGAAAGTTAAACAGATGGGTGGGGACCTAAAGGAGAAAATGGCATCGAGCGGTCTGAGCATCGCAAGAACGACCAGGCAAGAGGGGAGAGATCTAGTGTGGAACAGTGGTGCACACTGGCGCACCAGCTGCCACGCACAGTGGTGCACACTCGGGGCTGCTGCCTGGGAGGAGCAAGGGGGTGTGGGCCATGGAGGCGCGGTGACAGGGTTCAAAGGCAGCGGGGTTCACGCAGGGCACCGCAGAAACCCAGCGGGGTCTCTTTCCGCCAAGAGTGACTCTTTCCGCAGGGAAGAACAGCTTTGGATGTTTGAGCTTCAAGCTGCAAGGTGGGGACGGAGAGAGTGAGGGGCTGCGTTGCTCCCTATGAGACGCGGCCAGGGGGTGAATGGCCTTGGCAGGGGTGGAACGGCCGGCCAGGGAAGGACCACGGATGTTGGAAGGGAGAGTGTGTTTGAGGGGCAGGATTGCTCACTCTGAGATGTCACGAAACCATAACAGATGGGTGGGGACGGGAGTAAAGGGCATGGTTGAGGGGAGCGGTCTGAGCATCGGTGAGCGGTCAGACGCCCTCGCGCTTATCCTGCGCAGCCCTCGCGCGCAGCCCGCCATGCCCTCACTCACGCCAAGCCGCGCACGTCAGTCCTTGCGCCGAGCGCGGACTGCCCTCGCGACTAGGCCTGGCCGTTAACGCGCCTATCCCGCATTCCCCGCTGCGCCCACCTGGCTTTGCCCGCCAGCCCGTTGAGATAGGGCCGTAGGGAACTCGGGTGACCGACCGGATGGGGGGACACAGGGCGAGGGGGAGCGCAATATATTTTGACAATTCTCAACAACGAAGAGGGTGGGGGAGATAGGGAGCGCTGGGGGTGGCGAGAGGGGGGAACAGGCAATGTGGGGCGACGGCGGAATGTGGGGATATGAGCGCGGGCGGAACATGGGGATGGTTGAGCGAGGGCGGAATGTGGGGATGGTTGCGCGAGGGCGGAATGTGGGGATGGTTGCGCGAGGGCGGAATGTGGGGATGGTTGCGCGAGGGCGGGATGGGGACCTTGGAGTGCGCTAGTAATGCTGGACATCCGCCGGTGGTTTTTTCGCCGCGCGCAAGTTTTCCTGATGGGGCTGTGCTCGGCGGACGTCACCTGTGCGTGACTCGCGACGTTTGGGTTGGCCTGACGGATGCACCGTGCTACAGCACCTGCCGCTGTTCCCCGTTCTGGCGTGCCTGTTGGATTGCTGGTACTTCCTTCTGCTACCGCATTGGGGGTACTTTCTGATACGACCTAGTAGTTAGGAAATGGGCTGTAGTCCTAACCGTCCTCGCACCAAGGTCAAAATAAATGAGAAGACTTCCGCGTACCTTGGCAGAAGACTATCGAGGAGGATGTTGGTTGGATGACGAAATCCTTCACAAAACCGAACCATAGCTATCCTCGCTACTAAAATATTCATTTTTGAATCCAGGAAATTTGTAGCACAAATTCCCAGCAGTTTCCACAGTGCATACATGTTCATTCCAACCAAGAAACATTTGGTCACCACCTAAGCAACCCCTTGACGTTTGCATGTTGAGCTTTGGTAACTAAATTTTCGTTCAATGATTGACTAGCATTGCGTGGGTGGCATAAGGATGGCGATCAGCAGCAGGCCGAAAGTACTGAGTGCCCCCCAATGGTCTCGTGCACTCGCCTACTGATTGCACTACCGTGAACCTTCCCCTTCCCCTGCTCATATCATCATCTCTACGCACACACTATGCACTACCATATTGGTGCTCTAAACACTTGATGCATAGATGATGATACACTGCTGCATACGTAGTGCTACCCATTAATGTAGACAGGACATAACATGAGAATGCAAATGGTACTAGACTTGCATACATAAATTTTACATTGGTGTACACATGAGCTCGAACACCCTCCTACTGATGGCAGCACCAACAGCCTTCCCCTTCACGTGTACGCCACACAGCAGCCGCTCCTGCGCCTCCCTGTCGCCCTCCTGCCATGAAAGTCAAAGATCCATGGGTGGGGGATGACGCGAGGCAAGAGGGAGCACAGATGAGAAGGTTCGAGGAGGTGCATGGGGGGCATGTGATGAGGGAAGAGGGGAAAAAGAGGGAACGGGCAGATGGGAGGGAGCCAGGTATCACCCGCAGCCTTGCCCTACACGTGCACTTTGCCACACAGCAGCCGCTCCTCTGCCACCCTGCCGCCTTGCTGGCATCAGAGTGAGAGGCAACAAGGAGGGGGTTGATTGGGGGGCACGGGGTGGGGGATGAAGGGAGACAATAGGGATGGTAGTGAGAAGGAGCGAGGCAGCACGGACCGCCGTCTTCTTTACGTGCACGCCACCCAGCAGCCTCTCGTGTGCCTCTTGTGCGCCTCTCGTGCGCCTCTCGTGCGCCTCTCGTAAGCCTCTCGTGCGCCTCTCGTGTGCCTCTCATGTGCCTCTCGTGCGCCTCTCGTGCGCCTCCCTATCACCCTCCTGAGCATGTGGGTGAGACGCAAGGGCCCACTAAGAGCGGGTTTAGTGAGGGGCATGAGACTAAGAAAAAGGGGAGATAAGAGAAATGGCAAGCCGAGTCAGCTGGGTGCAGGGGGGGGCAGGAGAGGGGCAAGTGGACGAGATGATGGATGATAAGCGGATAACATAAGGAGGGTGCATCAATACACTTAGCAAACAGAAAACTAGCGAACAGTCAGCAAGGCACCATTAGTTGCAATAAGAGCAGCAAGCAGAGAAGAACAAGAAAGGCAAGCCACACCAGAAAGCCATAGGCAGAGTGGAGGGTGTGCAGGGAGGGGTAGCGGTGCAGGATGGCAGAGGCCATGTCCACTGTCAGGCCCCGTATCTGGTGGCACAAGGGAGTAGGGTGCGGTAGGAGTGGGTAGGGTGTGGTATGCGGCGGTAGGATGTGGCATCGGCCTTCTCCACGCATAGTGTCCGGGGAGGGGCAGCGGCGCAAAATGGCAGAGGCCATGGTGACTGTTTGACCATGCAGCTGGGAGGACAAGGCAACACGACAAGGAGGGATACGAGCGGCAGTATGGGTGGTAATGGGGAGTCTTTCCGCTAGGATGACAGAGGCCTCGCACTGCAGCAGCGTGTGTCCAGTTGGACCAAACACAAACAACACACCTTCAGCAGCAGCATCTGCTGCCAACCGACAAGCAGCAGCATGTGAGTGAAGGGGCAGCAAACGCACCTGCAGCAGCATGTAGCCGAACACATCCCCGACTTCAGCAGACACACCTGCACTAGCAGCAGGTGAGTGAAGGGGCAGCAAACGCACCTGCAGGCATCTGCTGCCAACCAACTTGAAGCAGCATGTGGCCGAACACATCCTCGACTGCAGCAGACACACCTGCCGCAGCAGCAGGTGAGTGAAGGTGCAGAAAACGCACCTGCAGCAGCAAGTGGCCGAAGACATCCCCGACTGTGAGGGACTGCGAGGAGCGACAAGCTTCTAGAAATTAGTCAAACGTGATGCAGCAGGCACGAGGGGGGAGAGGAGACGGCGGGGCATTGGGCAGCTGGGGCGGAGGAGAGGGTGCACGATGGAGTGGAG